ATGGGCCATGGTGATTGGCCTCTCATCCCGCCTCATGTCACGACAGTAGATGGTAATCCCATGGGGATCTGGCAGCTTGGTCTTTCTTCCAGCTCCACGGAGGCTCTTGGACGTGGACTTGGGTCCCTTGAACTTCTTGAGCTGGTCAATGGTCCTCTTCCAATTTCTGATCGTTTCTTCCTTGTAGCCTGATATCTTGCTTGCTGTTGGTACGTTGTTGTTCTCCAACGACATGACGACATCGATCTTGGACTGAATCGGCGGCCGGAAGCGCCGCTTAATCTCGGCAAATTGGATAAAGTTGTGAAGGTGGGAATATTGAATTTTTAAATATATTTTATCCAATCAGAAGTCACTTTCATTTTTATTGGTTGAAATTCACAAAATTATTGAATTGTAGAAGGTGGGCTTATTTTGTGTCTCCAAGGGTATTGTGAGCGGTGTTTAATCAACATTTCGCTTGGAGGTAGAACTGCCAGAATTTTTTTACTTCAACGAGGCACAAGCTGGGAGGAAAGGCTTCAATGACGATCTCGAGGTTTTCCCTTTAAGTTAGCTGAATTGCTCTTGGCATTATGACATAATTCCGATATATTGTAATATTGTATTTTGAGTCATACAAAGGAATGCATGCTCGAATAGGGCAATCCCTCCAATTCCAAAAAGCACAATGGCCCTCCTGCCCAGCACGAAGCGCCTTATCGACGGTCTCTTCAGCGCCACAGCGATGGCACGTACACACCTCAGCCGCTCCATCACGCTAGTGGAGTCGACCCTTCCGAGGGACCGCATGCAGGCTGAACTTCTCCTGGACCATGTATTAGCGCAGCGAAAAATCCATCACACTGCGACGAAACCTTCCTTTCGTGTGGGGATCGCCGGTCCGCCTGGGGCAGGAAAGTCAACGTTCATCGAAGCGTTGGGTTTGTCTCTGACCAAGAAAGGACACAAAGTCGCGGTTCTTGCAATCGATCCATCATCCTCCGTCACAGGCGGAAGCATCCTCGGCGACAAGACTCGAATGACTCACCTGGCGAATTGCCCAGACGCCTTTGTTCGACCGTCTCCCACGCGTGGTACCCTTGGTGGTGTGGCTCAGCATACAAACGGTAGGCCTCGCTTCCGAATCCCTATGCTCTGACGACATGTAGAAATCGTGTTGCTGTGTGAGGCCTGTGGATACGACATCGTATTGGTCGAGAGCGTGGGGCTGGGACAGAGTGAAATCGTTATCGACGACACGGTGGACTTTGTCATGCTCATGGTGCCTCCCGCTGGTGGCGATGAGCTCCAAGGAAGCAAGAAAGGCATCATGGAAATCGCCGATATTGTTGTCGTGAACAAGGCGGACGGCGAACTCAAAAGGTAGGTTATCATCCAGGGGTTCCAGCTGAGCTGACTGTGTAAAATAGCGCTGCCAAGCATACTGCCGTGGACTACATGCATGCGTTGCAGCTGGCGCGACGCAAGGACCCTGCGTGGAAGCCTGTGGTGCGGTGCAGTTGGCATTGACTGCATATATGGACTGACATCATACCAGGTCAAGATGTGCTCTGCAGTGGAAGGCGACGGGGTGGACGGCGTGTGGGACGTCCTTACGGAATTTCGGCAGGTGATGGCAACCAAGATAGAGGAGAAGCGGAGTCGCCAGGCGTCGAGGTGGATGTGGAACCAGCTCACGGAGGAGTTGATGCTCCTGGCCAAGAAAAAGGCTGCCGCGGAGGCACAGCGTTTGACACCAGACCTCGCGCACGGCTTCATTAGTCCGCGGTCCGCGGCACATCACTTGATGGATGCCATCTTTAAGAACTCCAAGTAGCTGTAGTAATGTCAAAGGCAGACGAGGACGGACGCAGGAACTGATGTACAGATTACGATGGCCACTAAGTGGATTTGACATGGACAAAGGAAAACCCCGATGAGGCAGGTGGGCCCTTCTCGACGCACAGTCGTTTGGGATGGGTGGTGGCGTACCACGCCAGTACTTGGAGCGCGCACACTTCTGCGTCGTCGAGAGACTGACGTGCGGACGGCGATACGGCGCGGAGGACTTCATCAGGCGATGGCATCGTCCGCTTCTTGCTTGTGTCAATGGACGATAATGAGTCTGTGTCTAAGGAGGAATGAGTTGCATGCACGACTCTGTGTCAACGATGTACCACTGAGTTGCCCGTCCTCTGACGGAACGTCCGTGGTGGTTCCATCCTTGGCAAGTTTCGCGAAGTACTTTTGCGCGTGAGATCGGATCTGTGCTGATGTGCGTGTCTTTATTTTGGCCGCAACCTTCTTCCATTCGCGGCCGTGCTCTTGTAACCCTGCAAGGAAGCTCTCATGCTCTTCGTCTGTCCATCGACCACCGTTTATGGTCTTGCCGGCTCCATAGCTCGGAGCGACGGCGCTGGGGCTGCTCTCCATCGTGCCAAAAGATACCTGAAACGCCACGTAACTGCTGAATCCATCACGAGGCGGTCAAATGCGGTGTTGAAATTGACAGAGATTTGCGAAATTATTACAGAAATGGTCCTGCTTTTGTTGAAAGGTGGTGAAAATATACATCAATTTTGAAGAAATTTGAAACTGTCATACAAAGCTGACACGCATCTCGATCCACTAAAGCGGTACAACAAAAGGCGCGACCGTCTTAGGCCCAGTATCCGATCGCAGCCATCACGCCCGCGCCGAGGAGGATGCACATGTAATGTGTCCAGCGATCTCGGCGTGTCTTGGCATGGAAGTCGGCGTTCACTGTGAACTGGTACGTCAGGAGTTCAACAACTCCCATGTACAGCAAAATGCCCGCAGCGACGGAATGCAGGATGCCTCGGACCCAAAGCGCTGCTGTCGAAGTTGGTGTGTACGATCCCGAAATGAGTATACCAATGAAGATCCCGCAAGGCGTGGAACTGGCGAACCCGAGCGCAACAAACACTGACGTTTTGAGCTGTGTGAATGCACCTTGCGAGGACGAGCCAACTGCCACGCCTTCAAAAAATTGGTGGAAGCTGATAGCTGTGAGAAGTGTGTGGAACGTGTCACCAGACGCGACGCCCATTTCAATCCCGATGATGATGGAGTGCACCGCAACGCTGCATTCGAAAAGGATCACGTTGAGTTTCTTGGCAAGAGGACTTCTATCCACGATGTCTCCATGGTGGTGGTGGTGGTGGTGGTGGTTATGGTTGCCGTTGTCCTGGAACGAAAGCTGGCACGACGGCGAATGGGGCTCGGGGGACAGAATCGGTCCCTCAAAATCCGAGCTGTTCAGATCCGTGAGCTTTTCCTTGGGCGACAACCACACGACCATCTCGGTCTCCATGATTTGCATGCTCAACATTGTGACGACCAATAGCACGATGGCGAGACCGGAGTAGTTCAAGTTGAGGCAAGGGTCGTTGAGTGCTTCAAGGCCGGGTGGGAGCATGTGCACCAGGGACGTCGCAATGATAATGCCGACACCGAGGGAATTTAAAAGACGAACGTACGGCATGAGCTTTCGGAAGAAGGACACGCGCGCCGCAAGGACAGGCAATAGCGCGCCAGCGAGGGATACTCCGAGAATGACAAAGACCGCAACGATGTGATCACCCGTTGCATAGTCGTCAGGGCGGGTTTCCACGGCGCCGCATGCCGGGACTTGAAGTACTGACGGTGCATCCATGGCGGCGAGTTCCAGAGTGAATGGATCGTCCCTTGTTGTTCTCTCGGTCTAATCTTGGACGCCGGCTTTTCGCACTGTGTAACTGTTATCCGTGCTTTGCATTGTCCCGAAATAGCGCGATAGAAGGGAAATCCACGGAAGTTTTTCAAACTCTACAGCGTCAAGTCAGGCAACGAAGTGCAGGTGGCAGCAATAGCCGATGCCTACAAGCCCATCCTCTACGCATGTCCCTATTTCATCAGGTTGCACAAATGCACAAAGCGAATCCAAAATAGCACACAATGCATCTCATGACTAAAATTAGTCGGGGTGTCTTGGAGTGTCACACCACCGGCCTTTGCCAAGCTTTGAACTCGTTGGAATCCAGCTGTCTTAATGAACGATTTCCCACGTAGCATGGACTCGCCACGACGAAAGAGTATCGTAAACAGATCTAGTGATGCTACATTATTCTTCTTACAATTGCAATTCCTTGACGTGTTCCCAGGTGAAGTCCTCGTGGTCGCGCCCAAAGTGACCATAGGCGGCGGTCTTTTGCATAACGGGGCGCTTCAACTTCAAGTCACGTTGGATGCAACCAGGGCGAAGGTCGAAGTTCTTCTTCGTGATTTCAACCAAGTCGTCGTCGGTCATACCTTCCTTGACGGTGCCGTACGAGTCGATGTGAATGGACAAGGGGTGCGACACACCAATGGCGTACGACAGTTGCACAATGACGCGCTTGGCCAAACCATGGTGGACCAACGACTTGGCAACCCAGCGAGCGGCGTAGGCGGCCGAACGATCGACCTTGGTCGAGTCCTTGCCGGAGAAAGCACCGCCACCGTGGGCACCCCAACCGCCGTAGGTATCAATGATGATCTTGCGACCGGTCAGACCAGCATCACCGTGAGGGCCACCAATGACGAAACGGCCCGAAGGGTTCAAGTGGTACACGGTCTTGTCATCGAGGTATTGTTCCGGGATGACGGGGAGAATCACGTGGTTCATCAAGTCCCGGTGGATTTGTTCGTTGGTCACATCCGGGCTGTGTTGGGTAGAGATGACAACGGTGTGGACACGCTGGGGGACCATGCGGCCATCGATTTGCTTGTATTCGATCGTGACTTGGGTCTTGCCATCGGGGCGGACCCAGTCAACAGTGCCGTTTTTGCGCACTTCGGTCAACTTGGCACCCAATTGGGTCGCCAAGACGTGGGTCAAGGGCATCAATTCGGGGGTTTCGTCGGTGGCATAGCCGAACATGATACCTTGGTCACCAGCACCAATGTCTTCGTCCTTGGCACCGTCGACGGCAGCACCAATTTCAGGGGATTGTTGTTCAATCGCAACAATCACGTTGACGGTCTTGTAGTCCAAGCCCTTGGCGGGGTCATCGTAACCGATTTCCTTGATGGCCTTGCGGATCACTTCTTCGTAGTTGATCGTGCCACGGGTGGTGATTTCACCGAAGATCATCACCATGCCGGTCTTGGCGCAGGTTTCGCATGCGACACGGGAGTTGGGGTCTTGTGCAATGCAAGCATCCAACACTGCATCGGAAATTTGATCGCACAACTTGTCGGGGTGACCTTCGTTGACGGATTCAGAGGTGAAGAGGAAGGTGCGATCGGTGGCCATCTTGACACTTGCGAGCAAATTTGAAAATGCTTGAGGGCGATGTTCACCACCCACTTGAGTTGAGGCCGCCAGTCAAAACGAAGGCATTGACTCCGTGCCTATTCGGGATTTGATTGGCTTGGGATGGGGGTTGGGCTTCAACTGCGACGCATTATCCGGTATAGTGTATACCAAACCGACGTCTTTTCGGGATTATCCGGATATGACTCCAGATGGCTTCGCCGCCTTTCCACAAAAAAGAAAGAAACCTGTTGAAGCGAGGTATCTTTACAAATTTCAAGTATACGGGGCGATTCCATGGAACTTGGTAGTGTACTTGAGTTTAGTATGAATCTGTCATGTGGGGGTGAACTATGACGTGTGTGTTGGGAATTGAATCCATGGATCCCCACCTGGTTGGCCAATCAGATGCGAGAGGCCATTAAATCTTGGCCACGTCAGGGCTTCCGTGGAAGGTGGCCAACGACAGTGCCACGTCAAGACCCAACTCAGGATAGGAGCGAGGGGTTTCGGGGTTGGCTCTCTCTCGACAGTGATCGCTTTCCCCACATTTTCCAACAAACGACCTTGAATGGCCATCCAAGCAACACCCGAGACGGCATCATACGAGCACCATCGAATTGGTTCCTGTGTGTGCTCGATTTGACGACACACCGTGGACGTCTCACAGAACGCGAGGTTACGCCAGCGCCATCCAGACGTTCCAACTCGCTTCTTCACTCCCCCACAACGAGAACACCAACCGAACCATGACCGCCACGACTGAAACGTCAACTGCCTCCCACTCTTTCGCGATGCCAACCACAACTGCCGAGCAGTTCAGCACGACGACCAAGGACCACCTTCTACCATTTTTTGTTCACTGTGTCGCCCATCATGGCCATGGAGACACCAAGCACAACGTCTTGTTTGCTCCTCCATGGTGTTTCCACCACGACTACCAAGAAGAGCAGCCCACCACAGCCAATGCGACGCCATGGCCGCCACGTTCTGTGGAGTCCACCTCGACCACAAATTGCCTACGACCATTCGATGCACCACGTCCTTCGTAAGAAGGAGCATGGATGGCGCTCGGAAGCATTTCTCGTGAAGGTTCGCACGTCTCGAATGAATGCCGCGTTCGAATCGAGGCTTTTTTCTATACTTGCGCACGAACAGGCCCTGGGCATCGTTTGTGTCTCTTTTTGATCTCTTGTGGGTTGGATGGGTCGTGTGTGGAGTCGTCGCACTGGAGATTGGCTACGTTTACATTTGAATGTTCTATTCGTTTCCGACGTCTTCTGCGTTGTTGTGCTTCAGACAAGATGGCCATCTCTGTCAATAGCTTACGTCGAATCCAACAACTCACGACTTCTGCGAGCGGTCGGCGAAAGTGGTGGCTCTTTGCGTGTTCCAGGAAGGTCTACCAGTTTATGCGGTCATCAAAATGCACGCTGTAGAATTTCCAGCTGTGCATGAACATCGTGTGTACTCCATTCCAGCCACGCAGGAATGTCGTTTTGCAGCAAACGTGGGAACCCCGAAACCCCGCACAATGAATCCTTTCAGAAAAGCACTGAAGTGGGGTCAAGGCTATCACGGAGAAGTCGTCGAAGGCAGTGAACGCACTTACAGTTAATATTTTGCCAGCAGCGAAGTGCCTACTAGACAAGGAATCATATTAAAGTGGTGAGGCCTATTTGATGGTCCATGTGTGTGTGGTATGGGTAATGGCGACGCCATTTAGAGCCTCATGAGGGGTCGACGCGCTGTCCAGGTACTTGTGGCCGATCGGCGTCTCAGGACCGACAAGGGACGGATGGCTTCTCACGTTCACGATGGTCGGATGGTCGGCTTGTTTGGCCACAACCTCCAGCGCGTCCGTCGTGGCTATGTACGTGACGCTCGCCAAGGCCGACGAAACTTCCCGTGACGGCAAGTCGTCGCCGACGATGATCATAAACTTAAGGTCTCCTCTTCCTTACAAGTTGTCGAATAGTCCCGTCGAGGTTTTGAAAAAGTTGAACGGGTTAGACTAGGTTGGAGACATATGTCGCCAGTCGTGAAGAACTTCGGCGGGTACAGTAATTCCAAGCAAATACGACTAGCGCGCGGCCGGTGGCGCACTGATGGTCCACAAGGACCTTCTTGGCGGTGGACCACATTCAAGTAACGTTGATGTCCCGTAGGTTGTCCAAAGCTGGCAACTCGAATGGGCTTGCTAGAGGCAAAAAGGTTTTATACCCCGAAACTCCATTCATCCGGTCGTCGGGGTTTTGATATTACAGTAGTTTATTCCGGATAGAAGTATTATCCGGATCTGTCGCTAGTCCGATCGCGATGAATGGAGTGCTCCCGAGTGTGACCTGGGGCACATGGGACCTGGAAGGACGAGTAATGGCCACTCGGAGCGGCAACGGAGGAGACGTTAGCTTCGATCAAGACAGTAAGAAGGACAGAAGACGGCGGGAGAAAGGTGTGCCGCCACTCAAAACCCAAGAGACCGCATGGTTCAGCGAGCTCCTCCATGACAGAATTGAACCATTGACACTCCTGCACTACCTTCCCAATCCACTCGCAACAACGAAGGCGTTACCGTCTGTAATTCCTTGGGACCGACTGCCTCATGGTATTCACCCCAAAGACGGCTACTTGCCTCCAAAACGCGTCCAGAACAAGCGCCACCAAGTGGACAACCTTGCTGTATTCCTTCAGCATCTCCTTCGGTGCACTTTATATATCTCTTGTCGAGCGTGCTCATGCCGACATTCTAGCGATGGTGACCGCGTCGTCGAGTTCTGCGCAGGCTCAGGGTATGTCGCGCTTCCTCTGGCATGCCTTTTTCCCAAGTGCCAGTTTGTTCTGTTGGACATGAAGAAGCCATCGCTGGACATTGGTAAGTCTGCGAATCCCTGCTATTCGTTCATTCGCATTGTGTTCTGCAGCGCACGAACGCATCAAGGCTGCTGGCTTGACCAACGTGACTGTCTTTTGCGGCAAAGTTGATGGTACACCTCGTAACCCCGCCGTGAGTTCACTCCACGTTTCTAGAGTACACGGACACCTTTGACGTCGGCATTGCATTGCACGCGTGCGGCGAGGTTGTGATCCGGCTGCTCACCGGACGCTAATAGTTGACTTGACGTACTTGGTTAGGCCACGGACATGGTGCTGGAAAAGTGCCTCGAGTCGACGGCGGCATATGTGTTGGCGCCGTGCTGCGTGGGAAAGATCAAGCATAGCGCACTGGCGTACCCTCGATCGAGCATCTTAACTAACGTCCTGTCGCGGCACGAATATGAGGTTGTTATGTGAAAAATACTCTTGTGTGACATCCATGAGGTAGATCGTGGCAAAAGCGGCCGACTTTGGCCACACCGCGTTGACCTTGACGGAGCTTAACGTGGCAAGACGTCGATGCAAGAGCGTTATAGAGGCTGATCGAAACCTGCGGGCGCGAGAGGTACTTGAAGCGAGATCGATTGCGTTGACATGCATCGAGTGTAGACCAAAGGGTACACGACTGCCATGTACATAATGCACCCAGTGACCGCGACGCCAAAGAACGACATCTTGGTCGGGTGGCCGTCGTCATTTCGTCACATGGAAGCACCAGGCCGATTCCTCTCAGATGACGCGATCAAGGCTGCGTTGTATGGATACGTTGGTCTTGTGTCGTTGTAAAAAATACCCCAACCTACGAGTGTGCTTGGCTTCGCAGAAAGGCTTCGTAGGGTGTACGCACCTTCACTGACGACTGCAGTCGAATGATAAGTTTCCATCTGGGGAGCACGCAGTCCCCACGCGTAAAGGAGATGGACCTTCCACCTCAAATAGATTCCGTATGAAGGAGGCATGCACGTGGCGCCTCACGTGCTGCCGTTGCTCTGCCAAGCGGTTCATCATTTTCAATTGATCTCGTCGATTGGACGAAAACCTTTACCTTTTAATATGTGCATTATTATTTTGCACAGGTTCGATCTCCTCAGGTTCATCACGTTTCATCATGAGCGACAAGAGCGCGGATGAAACGAAGCGGCTGAATGAAGACCTGGAGAAGCGTCTGTATGAGTTTGTGTCCAACTGCGACGAGGGAAAAGGTAAACAGCGAGGTCATGATCGTGGTTGTGACTCAATGGAGCATGCAGGAGACCCCGGCGCCTGCCACAGCCTCGGCGAATGGCTGGCTGTAGTGGACAAGAAGTACGACGACGCCGCGGTCGTGTACAAGAAGAACTGCGACACGAAGAACTATGCCGCCTCGTGCTTCAACTATGGCCGTCTTCTTCGTACGTGACCTTCTCACAACTTGTCGTTGCTCACTCCATGGTGTGCAGTCGCGGGCAAAGGGGTCGAGATGGACGATGCCATGGCCAAGGCTGCGCTCGGTTCGTGTTCGTGGCCCCTTTACATCTGACGGCCATGTAGAAAAGGCATGCAACGGCGGGCACATCCACGGATGTCACCATCTTGGCCTCATGTACCTCAACGCGATGGGTGGTGATCTGGTAATGCGTTTGGGAGTCATGCTATCGTCTGTTTATTGTTGCAAGCAGGATGTTCCTAAAGGTATCGCCGCCCTCGATAAAGCGTGCGAAGCTGGCGAAGGAGGGAGCTGTTTTCGGCTGGGAAGCATGTACTTGACGAAGCAATCCAAGTACAGTCTCCGGCGCGACGTTGTCAAGGCGAAGGCGTACCTCGAAGCCTCTTGCGACGCCAATTACGCGCCAGCCTGCCACAATTTGGCTGTATTGTACAAGAACGGGGACGATAGAGTGGCCAAGGATAGCGAATTGTTCAAAAAGTTCAGCGCAAAGACCAAGACCCTGTCGGAGCAAAACACCGTCGCCGGGGGGATGAAAGCTGCGTAGCCATCCATTTCAAGCAGCAAAGGTTCCTGATAAACGTGGCGGGTGCTCGAAAGAAGATGTTTGTTTTGACGAGTCCTTCGCTCAACGATTAACTGATCGACGAGGACGTTACCCGCCGGTCCACCCCCCCCATGGCGTGCTTGAGGTCCTGGTCCAGAAACCACTCGTAAAAGTCCCTCCACGCGAGGAAACCTGTCAAGTTCTTGTCGAGCCGCCGACACACGGTTTCGTACTCGGCATCGTCGCGCAGGACAATTCCTAGCCACTCGTACATCCATCCGATGGTGAAAATCCATGCGGCCATCGTACCGAGTTTTTTGGCGACGGTGATGAACTCGGTGCGCTTGAGCTGCTCGGGGTCGTCCGAGTAGATGCGGGAGCTGGCGCAGAAGGCCCCCCACGCTTGATTGCGCCGAGCCATGTGGACGTACTGCTCTTGGACGGCGAACGTCAGGCGGTGGTTCAGTTTCACGTTGTTCGTCGAGAACCGAGCTACAATGGCTAAGCTGGCGCGTGGTGGGGAAGCTCAAATACCTTTGAAAAGCTGGCGCTGATCCTCGTCCAGTGTTCGGTTGTATTTTGCCAAGATGCAGTACGACGTCGAGCTGTCGTCGTCGATGTCGGGGGGCTTCACGGCGGGTGGAATGAGCTCCGACGCGAGCTTGATGCATGCGGCTTCGTTCGCCAAGGGCAGGTCTAGGCTCGTGATGGCGCGCTGCGCTGGCGGTGCGAACGAGAGTTTTGTGCGATGCAGCGTTTCCCCTTCGATGTCGACGCACTTGGCAACACTCGGAGCAGGTGGCTGGAAGCGCTTGTTCTCGCTGTGGAGGTGGCGCCACATGGCCTTCGTCTGCTCTTTTTTGACAAGGACTTCAACCGTGTGGAGCTTGGACACCATGTTCCCAAATGCGATCGTGCGATCTCGAATGACCCGTGCGCTCTGGGGACGGGCGCCTTTGGTCAAGTGCTTGGGGATCATTGCCGTCGCAGGAGGTGTCGGTAGGATTGCATCCGTTTGCTTTGGAGGAGGGGGATGGGGCTTGATCGCGAGCTTGGCCACCGAATGGCGCGGACTCTTCATGATCTTTTCAACCTTTTGCTCGAGCTTTCGAACGTCTTGGTCGTGGCGGCGCTCGAGAGCCGTCCGTTCTTGATGGACGCGGGCCATCTTGGACGCGTTTCTCGCGTGCACCTCGCGCTTCTTCTGCTGCTTGGCGGCCTCGATAGCGTCGCACTGCTGCTGCCACTTTTGTTTTTTGGCCTCGACAGCAGCTTGGTGGCGCTTCTCCAGCGCTTCGAGACGCTCTTTGTTGGTCAGGACGACATGCTCTCGGTCCTGCTGGCTCTGATGCTTGGTGTTTTGCATGCTCGACACGATATCGTCCAGGTTGGTGCAGATCGGCGCAAGAACGAGCGGCGTGTGGGCATGCTGCATGACTTTATCGTGGAGTTTCTGCGCGTTTTGGCTCACATAAGTCGTGATGGTATTCACGTCGGATATGTGCTTTTGGAACGTTGACTCGGTGTGGTGTTTAGCTTGAGTGGCTTTGAGTGCTTGAACGGCTTGCTGAGCTGACGCAATTGCGAGCGACACGCGATGGTCCTTGGACGACTTTCGTCGATTTTTGGGATTTGATTTTGGTGGCGGAGGGACTTCGATCCGTCGCAAGTGCGTCAGCGCCATCAATAACCGCAGGGGGGCCTCCCCTTCATCCAACACCTGGTAGCAGCCATCCATCACGACCGGCACATGCACATGTGGTACCTCATGGAACACGTGGACGGCGTTCAACATGGCATTCGTCTGCAACGCATCGCGAAGCTGCGCCTGCCACACCCAACTGTGATGATCGATCCCTACATGACGACTCTTCGACCATCGCGGATAAAGGTGGCTTTCCTTACATGGATTTGAAAGGGGAATGAGCGAGGTGAAGACCCGCAAGAGCTCTGGTATGAATTTGTCGCCCCAGTTTCTCGTTAGGACGTCGATGTGGACTCGCGTCGTCAAATACCCAAACAGATCCCTCCACGCAATGTCTGTCGCTTGTTCAAACGATTGCACCAACCCGGCAAGGGGCGGTCTGTCGTCCAGGACGCCCGCGAGCACCGGAACTGCTTTGAGGGCGTCGTACAAAACAAAACGGTTCACGGGATGAGGTATTGACGCGTGCACGACCTGCGCCGTCTTCAGGAGCGTCATCTAGCATGCCCTCAGGTGGGTCGCCATTGCTGTGGGATCGTACCACAGACTTGTCTGGCGTGAAAAGATCGGCGATGTCCTGGATGTCGGCGCTCGTGAGGTGTTTGGGCAGATGGACAGTCGATCGGGGGGTCAAGATGTAGCCGATAAAGTGGCACTCGGGATCGGGTACGCTGCTCCACTCGTGGAGACTTCCGTGGACTCGCGGATAGCACCAAAGGCGCGGGAGATGGGTCGCTCGATCGTAGTAATTGTAGACACTTGCGGCGACGGACGCCATGTTGTTTCGGATCAACTTGGTCAGGAACTGGATGAAATCTTCTTGATCCGGAATTCTGCACTCGGCTCGGCAGTCGTCGTCATAGAGTTGCTGGAACTTGGACGGGATCGAAAACACCCGCAGCCAGTCGACTGTGAGCCCATTCTCTCTACCGTTCACATGAGAGTGGCCTCGAGAGAATCCTCTAGTACGTGTTCATCATGGCTTGATTGGCCTCGTTCTCGTACGCCAGCGCGCAAATACACCGCGCCGCAGCCAGTCGCAGACCGCGATCATCGGCCTGTAGGTCCTGAAAGACAAAATGAATCCGCCGATGCTCGTTCTATTCGATTGGGCCAGTGAGGAATGGCATTTGGTGTGGGGGATTCGGTCGGACTTCCAAGGTTTTGAGGTCGGTGCCAAGTTTGGTTTGCCACGTCGGCGAGCTCTGACAATGCTCGAGAATGGATCGATACGTTGCCAGCTTGGTCCGTACGTCAGTCACATCGAATTGTTTGGCGAAGAGAGGCAACGTCGTGAGCAAAGGATCGTGGCTGTCGTCCGTCTCGGGGCTACAACAATTTCATGAGCAATCACACCAGGACGAAGTCATGAAGGCAGCACGCACTGTTGTGGAGTGGCCTCGAACTGAAAGATGGATGTGCAGTACAAAAAGTCAACGTCGTGGGTGGCGATATTGAGGTAGATTGATTCTCCAGATTCTAGAACGTTTGGGCGATTAAAACGCGATGGATGGGTACAGCGATCCACCTACCCATCGCAATGTGGGCCAGGGGCGCCGAGTACCCCACGACCAGGCCCTTCTTTCCGCTGGACAAGCGCACTTTCCACTGGAGTGGATTCGACGGAACGGGGGCGTGGTCGTGCTTGGGTGAATTCGGTTGTCTATTCGGCCATGATCAATTTGACTCAAATGCGCATCGAGATGCACTGACATTGCTTGCTGCAAATACGTGAGCTTGTCATCGGGGCCAAACCACGCTTCTTCACCGTCGTCTGCACGATGTTGAGTCAACGGCAGGAGGGACAAGGGCCACTTACCGAATCGAACGAGCACGGTGCTGTGCTGCTCGTTGTACGCTTTGACCACGCCTTTGCTGTACCCACCGTCGTCCCCCGGCCGACTCGCACTGACGAAATACCCAACGGGGTCCTTGACTGTGTCGGGAAGCATCCCACCGATGGTGGCGCTATTTTCCGACCGTTTCAGAATCGGTTTCGTTTCCGTCTCATTACGGTTTGTGTTGTGTTGGATGGATGCGATTCTCATGATCGTGAATGCCAAGGCACGGCTATACTTCGTGGCTTTTCGCAGTTATCAACTAACTGCAGCAGGTCCCCGAGTATGGGCGATGGCACGTGGGTACAATGCGTGTGTGCTCGTCAACACAGGAATTCTGCAAGACTGCGCAGCACGGGTGACCACTGCCGGGCAATGGCTAGGCTTAGTTTTTTGGCCTTGTCAGCGGCGCAGTGGGTGGCCTTGTGTGTGAAGGCTGCACAGCGAGTGCGACTCCATCTGCGACAGCATGAAACAACTGAATTACGTCCTTGTGTGGAGTTGTCGTCAAGTAACGACGTTTCACGCGTAACCGTTACAGTCACGAGGGCTACAACTAAACGAAACCGCCCACATGCACGGCGAGTAGACCGCATGAACAGGATCGATGCGCTGGCGTATGACCCCGAAGACCTGGAGGAACTGTTGAATTTCTCTGGGTCCGATTCGGAGGCCGAAGTGCCGCCATCACCACACAAAACCACCAGCAACATCCTGCCGCCCCTGCATTTTGTCGACATGCCAGATCAGTCGCCATACCTTTCAGCGAAAAAGGAATCCCAGCTCCAGAAGTTTGGCGTGCTCAACAGTCCCTTTGGCAAATTTCAGTCTCGAAAGCAAACCCGCTCATCCCCGGTACACATGTCAAAACGATACCTCCTTGGAATCCGACTCGAGTGCCGCCATAGGTCCCTTCCCTTCGAACGACGAGTCCGTTTGTGAAAAAGAAGGGGGTGTCGCCATGGACGCGCTTCGTCCCTCAAATCGACGTGGGTGTGACTTCACCGTCCAAGATGGTATTCAAGACCAACGACATTGTCAAGCATGGCGAACTCAAAGTGTACATGTGCCGGTACAAGACGATCCAGCCGCTGTTTTGCATCCCTTTCCGCGACACAACGACGCTTCAGTCGTGTCGCACGCGGATCGACGACCTCCTCATGGTGGACGCAGTCGAGTACGTCTTTGTCGCACCAACTGGTAATGACTTGCACACGTACACGAGGCGTTGATTTGGGTTTGATCGGCGTAGGGAAATCGATCGCTGTGTCGGCGGAAGGACGATTCCTGGCACACTGGTTCTATCCCGTCCTGACAATTTTGGTGACGAACGTGATCAACCAGTCGAGCCACCATCAGTCGCCGGAGAAACTGCAACAAGCCATCTCAGGTAAGACAATCCGAACCATGGGTTTCTGAACCTGGAACAGCCATGGACAAGCCCGCGTCGACCGAAAAGCCATGGAACCTGTCGTACTCCAGCTTTGGCATGTTTAGTTCCAAGGAGCTACGGATGCAATCGGCAATCATTCAGGTGCGGGAGGAGTTCACCACAAAGAGGCTTCGAGCTGGCTCACTTTGTGCGCAGTCTCCCATGAGCAAGAAAATTCGAAAGCGACAGCAACGCGACGCATTACGCGTGTCGCTGGAGAGTCCATCAAAGACCGCCGAAGAGTTCAACGACGCATTCGAGCCTGCGACCGACCCAGCAATGGACACAGCGACCGTCCGTTCGATTCTCAAGCGAAGCAAGTTTGATGTGCTCGAGCACTTTACCGATCGCGAAGTTCAGGTTCGTCGATGACGTCGTGCTGCGTGTCACTTCAAGATGGTTCCAGCGTCGAAAGGACCGACACGCCAAGTATCAGCGGAAAGCACTCGTAAAGGCATTGGCACTTCAAGAAAAGGCAGTCGTGCTCCAGTGCTGGTGGCGCACCATGCTCAGCTACCGCCTCTTTCAGGAAAAGAAACAAGCGCACTTGGCTGCGATCCGCATTCAGACCGTCATGCGCCAGAGATCGCTCCAGAAGAAGCAAATGCGCTCGCGACGCAATAGCATCATGTGCGTCGAGTGACCCCAACTCTTTTTCAACTGACGGTCGTCAGCTAGGCTGAACAAGACCCCGAGTATGAAAAACAGCGCGCACCACTATGTGTTTCAAGCATGTTCGTGGGCCATTTATCCAAAAGTTTGTCCTAGCGCATGGTTGCTGCGTGTAGTCGAAGGCAACGACAAGATTGTGGTCAAGCTCCAAGCGATCCAACGCCGCCGGCTTGCACAAAAGCAGTTGCGGGAGAACCCAGAGAAGGCTGAGAGGTGGGTAGTTCGCAAGGATTGGGGCACAAACGGATCCGTCGAATACGACCCCACAGGTACTTGGAACTGGAGCGGCGCCGGGAAATGGTGCGCAAGTCCCAGGAGAATTTTGAGCGGGAACGGGCACTGGCGCAGCTCCGAAAACTCCACGCAAAAGAACGCAAGGAGCGCAAAGAACTCAACAAACTCGCCCTTGCGACCCGTCGCGAGCGAGCAGCGGTATCGGTCCAAACGACATACAGACGGTATCGAGCGGGCAAGATGGTCCACATCCTGCGGCGGGAACGCAAAGCAGCGATCAAGATCCAGTCCCACCTGCGAAAGAACACTGCTCTGACGAGGGTACGGCGTTCGAATCGAGTGAACGACCCCTGCAGTCTTGACTATCGTAGGTGGAAACGCTGAAGTTGCAAATGCGCAAGTCGAGTTTGAGCGGCACTACGACCGAGTCCGAGAGCTACCACCCGCGTCTGTTTTGTCGACGAGTTTGGTTTCGCGGCGCTTATCACATTCTATACAGGCAGGTCCGAGTCCAGTTGGTTCGTGGCCCTGATGGCATCCATTCCAGCTGCCTTTCCAAAGGGCACTTGCTCCTCGTACTCCACTGCAGCACGAGTGGAAAACAAGGTGACCCGATAGCGCTCGAGTGCGCCTTTGACGTTGACGACCTCAAGTTGTTCGGTCTCCTTCCCAGCACGTTGCTCGTGCGAATCCACGAACTGGATCGGCTGACTGAAGGTGATCATTCAATGCAGTCCTGAGCTTCTTCACAGTGATGGGCTGGACAGGGGCATCGATGGCGCTGGTCCTGTCGCGCGGACAATACGTGCTAAACCAGCAAGACTTTCACAACTTTCGCAACTTAACTCTGGACGCCCGCACGCTCCTCCTTCCCAACCCAGACATGTACTTTGGACGGATGTACCAGCGGTGCAGCGACAGCAATCCCCCAAACGAACTCCTCCGCTGCTTTCGATATTCGGAGCCGACGCTCATCTACTATTTAGCCAAACGTGTCAAGCTTGGTAGGATGAGCGGTACCCGATCCGCTGAGCCCCCGACTTCCTTCCCCCCGTAGGCATGGCCCACTTAGGGTTCTTCGAAGACAAGGGGGTCCTCTACGTCGAGTGTTACATCTCTCGTTGGCATATCTGTATTTGCGTCGGGCTGCAGTACCAAGAGTGGGCATTTACCGGTCACGGCATCCTGGCTCGCTGTGACCTGAACCAGAAGATCGAAATCTCCAAGCACATGGTGCTTACGCCGTACTCTTCCTTGACAGCTCATGGTCGTGCTAGGGGGCCCGCATCTCAATCGGGCACAACGGCGTTCGCCTGGAAGTGAGAAGAAGGCTGTTTCACATCGCCAAGCGATTCCGTATCGAGGAGGATGGAGTCAAGACCAGCGCGACCGCCCTCTTCTCCGTGTACATTTTAGGTACACATCGAGTTTCTTCCTCGTTACTCTGACTGTTTTGATGAATACTACGTCGACCAGGGCAAGAAATGCAGCTTGAAGTGGTTTTTGCCGATGGGGCCGCGATGCAACTCGGTATCGACGCCAGCATGCTCGCTCGCCTCGGGTACAAGGACCTGCATCAAGTGGATATGGACACAGTCAGCATCTTGAGCCGACAACTGCTCAGTGGCCTCGTCATTGTCGATTGCACCCTTCAGCTGAATCTGTAATTGGCACCGCATCGCCCCTGGCGTGGCATCTCACCCGGTTGCCCACCCCCACGCCAAACGAATGCGAGACCTGATTCACAGTCGACGACAGCATCGGGGGAGCTTAAGCTGGCATTTGCTGAAAAAATGGCCGATTTTGGTCTAGAATACACCAAAATATTCATAACAAAAAGTTGACATTGAACTCTGGCATTCAAATACCTCAAAAGAACATATCCTGTCGAATATGTAGCTATAAAGTAAACTTTTGATCCAAATTTACCCTCAAGTTATCATATCTTGTACATTTTAGTATTTGGTCCAATGAAACTCATTATCACATTATAGAGGTTTCAAAGGTCCCACTGCCTCTACCATGTCATCCTGCACTTTTTGCAGTTTGTTAGCCGCGATGCAAACTCCCACACACAATCACACCGGATAATTATCCGTCAAGTTCCTTGGGAGCTGTCGTCGACTGTCAGTTTGTATTCTTGGATGCGGGCGCTATGGTACGCTGACCAGGCACCGCTTTCCGGCAAAGCACATACAGTCATGCATAAAAACCCTCCCTCAATACTGTAAGTGAAGGACCGTTCGACATCACGTCGGGTGATATCTGGTGCTACCAAAGGAGTTGTGGCCCAACTTGGCAGCAGCACAGACCAGAGACCAAGCGCTCGTAAAGGGAGAAAGTTGACATGGGTACATGCCAACACTATAGTATTTTATACCAAATAGGTAATATAACTTCGAACAAGAACTGTACTGTTTAAGGAAATTGCAACTTTGTGCAAGGAAATTCCAACTTGGATTCGACCATGCCCTGGCAACGTTGCCTAAGAATTGCAGACGAATTTTCGCATACAATATCACAGTACAAAAAATATGAATTGATTAGACGTTATGGCGGAAATAATGTAAAGACATCACATGCGGGAGGTCCTTTTCAACGGCTATTATATTCACTGTCAAATCAGGAGGAATTTGTGTATTAAGGTCGGTAGTTGTTGAGATTTGGCGACGTCAGCAGCGTGACGGTTGACTCGAATCAACCCTGCCTGACAAAGGGACGAAGAGTTCAATGCAGACGATATTGAACACAGAGTTGGATAGGAGGACAAGCAGCAGACATACCTCCATTAATCACTTTTGTTTTCGCCTGCTTGGACAAAGTCGCTTGCACACGCTTGCCGCTGTTCTCCTTGCGCCTAAGACAAAACACACCACAGCAACAAGAAGGCTAACTAGATGGCTGCGATCACGACGACCACCATCAAGCTCACGGAGCACAACAACTGAAGCTGGAAGACGTACTTGAAGGGG